TGTCTGGGCATAGGGACAGTTTTAGCCAATATGACAAAAAAGTGATTTTTAAAACTTACAGACTTCAGCTTTAAAGACAATGCTGCAAATTTGGTTCGTGCCGTGGAGATAATGCAGCAGACGCATGTCTGCTGTGTCCCTGCTGTATCATGTCTGCTTGCTCGAGTGAGGCTTCACTTTTCACAAACAAGTTTGCAGTTTTGAGACAGTTTTGTTCACATCTCAAGTTTAAACTGTCTGATTTACAAGTTTGCACTTTGTGTTTAATGTGACAGGAAAAAAATACCACAAAATACCACCAATAAATGAACCACTTTCATTATTGTAAAAACAGATTGAATCGAAATTAATCGATTTAGAACTGTATGAATCAAAATTGAATCGATTCAGAACTTTGGTGAAAATACCCGTCCATACTGCCTACATTTTAACACAGGAATTTGTTAATTTAAGATTTATTGGATGATTTTCTGATCAATAATCGGCTCTTGGTTGATGCTCACTGTGGTATCCTGTTCTAAAAAACTGTCCTTTGTATTGAGAGGGTCAGATCTGTCACTGAATGAGTCCTGTACCAGACAGTCTTTTACAGCAGTCTTAGCTCTCCTTAAAGCTAGTTAAGCTAAAAGTTGTTATTAGCCAACAAAACAGATATGACACTAATCTGATCAGACATATTTTTTGTTCTGTGGTGTAGGATTTAATCTAGAGCCTTTTCTCTACAAGGAACTCCATGAATTCTCCAGCTCAGAGGGAACTGCGCTTTCGCTATTGCAGCTCCAAAGCTCAAGCCTAAAAAATGACCTGCCTGAGCACTTCAGACAGGCCTCTAATCTGACTAATTTTAAATCTCTTGTCAAAACAAAGATTTTCACTTTGGCTTTTGACAACCAGCAAGACAGTGAGCTTTATTTTATTTTATCCTTATATTTCTTTCATCCATTTTTCTTGATTTGATTGTGTGAATATTATTTTTAGCCATCTTGTAGCTGTTTTGTTTTTATCTATACTGTTTTATGTTTTGTTTATTTTTCCTGTACAGCACTTTGATGAGCTGTGGTTGTTTTTAAGTGCTTAACACATAAAATGTTATTGATTGGATTAAGGGGTGAAGCTCCAAAGGTTTTAAAAAAAGCCAGGAGAATTGATTGTTATGTAGGCCATAAGGAACAGAGAGATAGCTCGGATCATTATTGCTGCACCAAAACATTTTTTATGAACTGTGGCGAAACATTTTACGAATACCCAAATTAACTAAAAACGTTAAAACCTGTCAATGAAAAATATTCAATTGTAAATTTTGGTACTTTTAGTTTTGACCACAAACCTTAAAAACTCTTTACATTCACTTCCAGCCGCTATGAACAGCAGCTGGAAATCCCCTGCAGGATGGCCGCAGCAGGGATTTCTAGCGCTGCGGTCAAGCGGTATGCTGGAAGTCCGGAGCTACGAACAAGAAGTGCATATTTTAAAGGGATCATAATCCTGATGAGCTGACTGCAAGAATGATGTTTGGAGGTGGAATTTCTTGCTTAAAAACGTGTCAAAACTATTTTTTTTTCAACTCATGAAGTAAATAAAGCCAAGCTGCTCTTTAGCTTTAAGCTACAGACCAGAGCAGATAAACAAGCAGAACATAGAAGCGTCAGAGCAACTTAACCGCAGTTTGATCCAGTGTTTTACCCAGCGTCCAGATTTCTGCATTTACGTGTTTTTGACTTTTTTGTGTGAACGCAGCAATACACAAGCAGGTGTGTTGAACCAAAGGGCGGTTATACCAATTGTAAATGTCCAAAGGGCAACAAAGCGCACTGTTATCCACAAAAAAATCTATTTTATCGACCTTTTGGAAATAGACTCCAATTATCTTGAAGAAACATGAAAAAAAATCAGGTAATCTGTTTGACATTTGCTACAGATTAAGTACTGATTGTCCCGTAAACACCTTTCCTGTTACCCCACTGTACAAAAATACGAGCCAATAAATCCATAAAAACCTAAAAAAAAAAAATAAGAACGAAATAAGATAAGATCTCACTACGGTATGTACAAACAACGTTATTTGCTTTGTACATTACTGATCAGTACCTAAATTACTACTATTGCATATAACCGTGTTATTTCGCATAATGAAGTATTTCAAAAAAAAAGAAAATGAAAAACAATCCAATGGACTTTGTTTCAAAAGTTGGATGTTTAAGTTGAAGTATTGTGTAAGATTATAATATAAATCTTACATCATTAAAATAATAGTGTATTAGGGTCTGGGTGTCTATTTAAATACGCAAGTAAACATGAAGCAACTAATTTCAATCGTGATGGAATGTAATTTGTGACACATTTCTAACCAGTTTTAGACGGAAGCTTCAAAAGAAAGATGACGTTAAAATCAAGTTTATAATGTCTGAAATGTCTTGCAGGGGAGACGGGAGAGGCGAAATTCACAGTCTTTTTTTAAAAGTCCTTAAGACTCTGAAAATGGCCAGATTTAAATAATAGAATTAAAAAAAAGTGTTGACTCTTGACTTCAGTATTTTTTAGGGCCCTGCGTACGCCCCTGCAAATACAGATAGCTTTTCAGAAGTATCTCAGAAATATATCTATATATATATATAGATATATATAGATATTAACTAATAAAAATCTAAATGTATTGTAGGATGAGTGTTTTTTTTAAACATGTACATCATATAGAATTTTTTATGTTTAACTCCATCAAATATAATAATCTGCAGAATCGTGTTTTCTCACACATGAAGCTATGATAGTTTAATTTATAAAGTTTGTAGCACAAAAAGTGTCGTATTCAGCGAGTTGTTTACTAAACGCGCTGAAATTTCCCTGAACCTGTTTAAATGAATTACACTGAGTGGAGCGGACGACCTCTCCAAGATGGCGGCTCCACAGCGCGAACAGGCAACAGCGGCTACAGGAAGTACTTCAGCTTCAGTGACTTCCGGTGCATCTGTTAGCATAGTTAGCTTGGCTGTTCTCTGTTGGGTGAATTCCTGAGTCTCCACAGCAACAATGAGTTCAGTTCAGTCTCTGAGTGAGTTTATCAGACAGAGACTAACTGCTGCTGCTGAAGAAATCTTCTCAGAGGTGGAAAAAACCATCATCCAGTACGAGGAGGAGATCGACCGTCAGAGTCTGCTGGACATCAGCTGGAGACCCCGGATCAGCTCACAGAGAGCAGGTTCGGTTCTGATGGGGGGATTCAGGGACGGGTTGGGGGTTACACTTACTCAA